ACCTGCGTCGACGATGGCCGTAACATCCAAATTGGGGTATAATGGCTTGTCTGGCTTGTCGTCACGCGCGTTACAAGATAATATAAACTCAATAAAAGCCTCCGCAGTTTCGAGCCACACACTCTCGCCGTCTCTTCCTTCACGTTCACCTTCCACCTCCACTTCACCCCCGAAAATTCCCTGGCCATGGTCGGCATCCTCAAGCCGAGACGATCTCTTAGGCTCAAAGATGTGAAGAAAGGTATGGATCCTCGTCGTTATCGTTGACCGATTTGCCCTGACTGTGGCCCGGCCACAGTTCATTACGACGAGTCCAGTGACGCCGGCTCTGTGCCCGATCTAGAGCTCAAGCCTAAGCATGTCAAACGGAAAATAAAATCATCAGACGACGAAGACGGCTATGAGCCGGACCGTGAGGCCACGCCGGTGGATGGGAGTACCCCAAATCGGAGAGTGAAACGCAAGGTCTGCATGTCGGAGGATGCACGACAGCGAGCTGTCGACAAGTCTCCGAACAAAGGCGCCTGCATTCTATCGAGGCTCAATGACAGGACAGTCCAATTTTGCCACGTACTTCCACGAGCCACAGACTCGTCAGTGGTAAGTTGAAGTGGCTCCTGCGCGAATGCAGTGTCTCTGACGGTGTACATACACACACACACACACATAGCTCGCGTCTCTGGAGTGGTGGTGGGGTCTGACAAAAACACTAAACGTGGACTCCCATCATAATGTGGCTTTCCGTGCGTCTCCCTTCCCTGGGGCATCCAGATACGCATGGGCTTACTTGCATACAGTTCGTGGAGATCTGCACGTACTGTGGGATCGTGGAGACCTATTGATCGCTCCGATGCCTGATGTGGTCATGAGGCTGCTGGATAAGTTCACGGATAGCGGGAGATACAACATTTGGGAGGTGAGTCGCTGCAGCCCGATAGTTTATGGCTGATGCGAATGGTCGCCACAATGCGTTTAGGTCCTCGAAGAAGAGAAGTTTTATAGCTACTCTGCGCTCCCTCACCCAGCCCTTGCAAATAGACAAACCCGAGAAGGGTTCGCCTGTAAATTCGATCTAATCGAATGTGTCCAGTCGCAGGCAAAGCCACACTTCATGATATTAAACGCTGTCATGAAGATCAAGGAGAACAAGAAGCTGTGGATAAAAGTTCTAGAGGCGTTCTACAAGAGAATCAATCTCAAGGCTGATGCATCCCGTGTTGTGGAGGGTATGGTGACATTGGCTGACTTGTGGACTGCACCACCACCCTGGGATGCACAGTTGGTAAGGAACGAGGATGAGCCGCAGGAGCTAGAGGACGAGCCGCAGGAGGTAGAGGATGAGCCACAGGAGGCGGAGGATGAGCCCAGGTTAGTGAACATATTTGGTTCCTCAACGCAATCACCGATCTCGCTTGTAGCCTTCCCATAATTATTCCGACAGGTATACCAAGGACGCCTGAACGGCCGAAAGGTACGTCGTTATGCTTCGCCTTGCCATATGATACGGACTTACCAAAACATCTTCATGTCGTACAATAGCTGTCGTTGGTCCAGGAGGCCTTGTCCAGGATATAGGCCGCGAATCGAAGACCCCCGAGCCCGAAGACCAATCGTGCAATAGCAATCTAAAGTCGTGCGCTGCCCAATTAACGCCCACTGGTCCACGGTGCCTGCTCAGTCTGCAAGATGACAAGTCCGTTCAGTGCTGCCACGTCGTCGCGCGAAGCACTACACGCAAAACGGTAAGCCACAATCGCCCTTGGTGGGTTTCACGTCAATCTGACTCAAATACTCTCGCGCCTGTAGCGTCAAACCCTTGCAGCATGGTGGGGGCTTGTTGATTTCGACATCAACACGCCTTTCAACATCTTCCTATGTGAGTGCGTATCCCCCGGTTTGTCGGCGTAGCCCTGATGCATACCCCACATAGTGAGAGCCGATGTTCACTCCATGTGGGATCAAGGCGATCTGCTGTTTATGCCGGAACCTGAGGTCATCAAGAAGTTTTTCGCACAATCTATTGTTCCCATAGATGTAGGCATGGTGAGTACAGAGACAGGGCCTAGACATGGTATCTTGCTCACGGTGCTATCCAGTCGCTGGACGAGCCATTTGAAGTGTGCGATGGCCCCATCCACAAATACTGCGTTGTTGCCCACCGCGACGTTCCAGACACAGAGAAGAACTCTGCTTTCCGAAGGGAATTCAAGACCGTGGGCTACGTGTATTCCCGTGTCCCTCCCCAATTCGCTACATACAACGCCGGCTTGGCGCTGTCGAAGGGTGCCGGACCAGCTAATTTCGTAATGGCTTTAGACGCCTTCTACAAGGAACACAAGGTCAACTACAACGCGATCGAAATTCTCAATGAGACCCTACAGGTCTTCCGACGATGGATAGAACGCAAGCCGCGTGTACTTGGCATGCGTCGCACTGCCCGTCGTCGCAAGTAATTATCTCGAACAGTGCGTCGGCTATACTTCATTCAAACTCATACATAAACATTAACGATATCAATACTGGACGGATTCAGGAACTCCACATATTACTCGGTCGATGCTGGGTCAGAGTGTAATTTTTGAGATCTATGTGGCCCTATGAGCAGTTATAATATGAGAAATATCCTATGATTAACAACCTATGTCTCAATATGCAGTATACCACCACACAGTTATCCATGTATTTCCTTTATTCAATGTCTACGGTGAGCAATTACAGCTAGTTGCAAAATGATGCGGAAAACGCATTTTTTTTCGCAGAGCCCGGAAACACCGGGCCAGATGTCCGGGAAGGGGGAAATCGGAAGCAATCGCAGTCACGTGGCTATCCCATCGGCTGAGCATTCGGCGCTCATTAGTGTAAGGCAAATAAATCGGTGTAAATTACACCGTACTTTTTTACAGGTAATTTACAGGTAATTTACACTTTTTTACAAGGCTGTCTGATTAGCGGTGTAAATAATGTAAATAAGGAGGGTCACGTGTTGGGTACCCACCACTTGGGGCCGATGCGCCTCTTGTGCCTCTCGCGCTGCCCCGGGCTATTGTTTTGTCAACGCTGCTGCATAGGTTTAGTGCGTCACGTTCGGTCTCTTTGTGCTAGTATATATATAAAGTCCAATCAATTGTATTTCCCCCCAATCTTTTGCTGTGCAGGCTGCTCTTTGGCAGCATCCCCCTCGGTGTCGTAGTGGGGGTTTTGTGCTCGTGGGATCGGAACCCGGGTGTTGTCGACGTTAGTACAGCCTCCTCGTGGACTGAGAGTTCGGGATCAGATTAGATAGAATAGCCCCAGCGCTAGCTGAGACTGGAAGGAGTGATCGCGAAGAGAGGATCGCGTACCTGGAGGATTTCGTAGACTTTGAGGAGGAGCGAGAGCGTCGCCAAGGATCCAGCAAAGGTTCGAATATTAGATTAAGAGAATTGTGAATTGCGCGTGGTTCGCTGGCTCGTACAGGCCCATTTCCTCTCCATATATACCCGCAACCTAGAAACCTTCACATGAAGTAGTCGAGTACATGAGCATCAGTCGTGGTGTGCCGGGAAAGAACAATACCGTCGCTCAGCTTCATGCGATCGCGGCTACGTTCGGGGAGTCAGCGTGACGATTCTCGACTCTATTTACGAACGCGTTGCCCCCCAACAAGCGGAGGAGGCATGATCAC